CAAGCTTTAGTGTTTTTTTCTTCTTTTTTTTTCTTTGGATGGATCAAGCTTTAGTGTTTGAACACGTGTGACTGATTAAACATATAAATCTAACAAAAACTGGGGATTTGTGTGCAAGTAGGCTATGTTGAACAAATACTTGGCCCCTCTATGAATATTGTGGGCCCTTGATGACCCCTTACACTGAAAATTCCTAGATCCGCCAATGCTTGATGGGAAACAAGAGTGATTACTTCTAACAGTTCTCATCCTGATTATAAAACATTTGAGTGAAAACAAAAGATAAACAGAGATGCCATAAAACTGGTGTCATTTAGAAAAAGCATTTTAAAGAACGATGCATGAGATATTTTCCTTAACACACACAAAAAACTTTTAGAATAGAATGCTTTGAAATCTTTCAAAAGTTTTTCCGAATAGTTTCTAACAATCATTGTATTCAAGTGCCCAACACGCTTTTAATTTGAAAGGGTTGTTTCCTGTTGTCTGCTTAAAAAAGGAACTTCCGGTTAGAATAAGAAAGGTGGAACAAGGGATTCTTCTTCGGAAGGAATAAATTGTGAGCTAATAAACGTTGTTTACATCAATAATACTTTTTTCATTTTAACTTTAATGTAGATTTGATTTAAATTATATTTGTATTATTATTTTTCTGTACAGGTCGTTGTAAATATCGCTGTAGCTCCATGTGCTGAGGATTAGCGGACGACTTATTGTCTGTTAGCTTAGCATTTTATTCAGCAGTTTAGCGTTTCTTTTAACGTTGTGCTTCTCAGATTTTTCACGTCCCTAATAAACAAACACCTGTTTATGCATGTTTACGTGATTATAATCGGTCTGATTTCAGGAGTAGTGAAGTTAGGTTATTGTTTCTTGCAGAGATCTGGTGCTCAGTCTCCGGTGTTAGCTTTAGCTGGCCTGTATTAGCAGCAGCAGTTCATTCATGCTAATGTCACACTTTTTTGCATTCAAGCTCTTTTGTTCCCGCATTATACCAAGTAGTTTACTTAATAGTTACTTTCGTTAGAATGCTAAAGCATTTTTTTCCTTCACAGTTTACAGAGTGTGGAGGTAGCTGATCTCCGTCCGTCCATTAACAATGTCAAGTAAGTAAACAAAGGAATACGTTATTTATTTAGTTCTGTAGTTCAACAAAGCTGTTGAGTAACTTTTGTTTGTCTTTATGTTTTGTTTTATCTTTTTCTTCTGGAGTAAACTAGAAAAAAAGCAGTAAAATCCTAATAATTCCAACCACTGACTTTGTTATTTTCGTGCCTGGCCGGATCATCTAGGGCTGTGGATACATTTTTTCCYATTAATATCAAAGCTGTCAGTGAATTCAAAAAGAACATTGTAAAAAACCCTTTAAAATGACACCTAAATCATGAGGTTATCGGAAGAATTAAGGGAGATATGGATATTAATGTTTAGGAAATTAAGGTCATGATTTCTGTCATAATTCATCACTGAACCAGTCGGTGTTTTGTGACCAGATGTATAAATGTATGTTTGCTCTCTTCCTTATTGTTCAAGATATCATCATGAAATTTTCAGAATTGATTCAGTGTCTGCTTTTTTTCCCAATAATGTCTTGTATCCTTAAACAAAAGCATTTTATAAAATCATATTAAAAAGGCTCATGTCACCTAACTGCAAATTTAAATCAACTTGACCTTTGAAATCCATGAATTACATACCTTTTAAAAACCATGTGGACGTTTGTTTTGTAAACAAAGGCCTTCAATCAATGGCTGTGTGCAAAATGTGTCAAGGAACAAAGATGACTGTCAAGCATTAAATCATTTTCACTGTAGTGGGAAAAAAACGCTTTGTTCCAGATCCAATAAAATAATAATGAGCTTCAGGTAAGTTAGTGTGTTTAGGTGATGATTGGAATTTTTTAAATTTTTTATTTATTTGTTTTGAATTTGACGATACCAGGGTTTCTTGGAATTAGTTGAAATAACAAAACAGGAGCACTAATTAGCGAGGTCACCGGTGCAGCATTTGCACAATCTGGTCACAGCGGTGTGTAGAAAATGGAACCTGCTGATGACAATATGTCAACATCCCTAGATC